TACCATTACCAGTGCGCCCCACTATTAACAAGTTTTTAATATCCACCGATTGTTCCTGAACTTCTTCTAACTCAATATTTTCTGCTAATTTTTTATTTGGAACTTTTCTTGATTTATCTTCCTTATATTTCTTAACATTCCCTTCAAAGGGCTCAAGTTTCTTTTTAATTTTCATTACCTTGGCTTCAGGGCGATAAACTTCATAAAAAAATTCTTTTAAACTATCTGGTAAGTGAATTAAGCCTTTACTAACATCAGTGCTACAAATGTCCAGAGCGTCAAATTCTTTATAGATCTTAGATGACCATAAAAACGGTTATAAAAACCTTGCTCTATTTTTTCTCTATCATCAGTTCCTATAAATAAAGTTTCTAAATTGATAAATCTGTTAAAGAAGCTCAAATCAATTTTAGTGATATTATTATTCATTATATTTAAATAAGTTAATTTTTCAGGATTAACAAAATCTCTGGGATGATTTAATAATCTAGTAAGACTATTATGCGCAAAAATTATTTTTTCTAAGTCATAACAATCGCTTACATCTAATTTAGTTATGTTATTATGAGACAAATCCAATTCTACAAGTTTAAAAAATTCGTCCAATATTAATTTTCCACATAAGTTTTTAGTATTATCATTATCATCATTATCATCATTATCTATTACTATAATCTCATTACGACATTCTTTTGGATAAGTTTGATCTAACCAATCCTGAGCATCTACCATATTATTTAAATTGTTGTTATTTACCAAGTGAGAGTTTTTTGCTTGATAATCCGAAAATTTCAACAAATTAGGTTATTTTTTTATATTCCAATAACTTTCCGATAAGCAACTAGGTTATTTATTCAGCAAATAAAAAATTATGCGTAAATACTAGGGATTGTCCAACAGAGAGAAAAGTGACATCACACTAACTACGAAATTTTGTATATATTATAGTGAACACGGCCTTCTATATAAATACCTTTTTAACATATATTTGTGTGAAAGGGAAATTCAAGTATTGTTGTAGCCTGAAATTCTTTCCAAAGTTAGAAAGCTGAAAATGCCGAGAGCCAGAATCAAATTATCGAATTTGAGAAAAGGCTGGTTGAATTCTGATAGTGAACTAAATTGAATATTCTGACAATAAATATACAAGAGAAAGTAATCTTGTATAATTGAAAATAATAAAAAGTAAGAGTTAGAATGATTTTAACAAGAAATAGCGTAATAAAAAATTTATTGAAATAAGTTATTAACAATAATGAAACTACAAAATAGGAAAAAGGGAAAAAAATATGGGCTGATTTGTCGTTATACATATGAACGTACAGCAGTATGAATGTTTTAACAATATTAGATTTTGACTATTATACATATGACCATGTATTCATGATATAGTGTAAATAGCCTATATCTATTTATGGCAATTCATATCAACACCAGGAATGGAGAGATATTGAAAAATTTCACGAAGTGTATGGTATACGGAAAATTAAGTGATATGGCGAAGCAAAAGTGTGAATGCATATTGAAACTTCGCATGTTACATATTCGAAGCAACACTTGCTCCTGTATTTTGTGTCGCATGAGATTGTTAGTCTAACTTTTAATGTGCGACACCTGATTCAGTAATTTATTTTCTCATGGTCGTTGTTTAATTGCTGATCTTGATTGCCGCTACTGTATACCATTCTGTATATAGAATTAGATCCTGGGGATCTGATTTCTATTTCTGTATTATTGATTTTGATCTACCTGCCATTACCTATAACACAATAGAACAACGCTCGTAAAATCGTATATCGATATGTTTGATTTCCCAAATTCGCATTTACTCTTTATTATCCGATATCTACAATCTATTTAGAGCTAAACAAATAATACAACTTTTAACGTTTGGGGCTATGCAGGCTGATGATTTATACCGGAGGTGAAATTTTATTGAATTTAATGTTAGCAAAATACATGACAAAGAAGCGAGCAATTGACCGAGTTAGTCAGAACGGCAGAGACATCCCGTGACAGAAGCAATTGTAATTGCACTGGGAATCTCAGTAGGATTAGCCGGTGGGGTTATTCCCCGTCTGCCGAAGCAAGCCGGCCGCAAGTGAAGAAATGATGGAATCACGTGTCTTCTTGCTTGGGTGTGTTGGGTGGGTGGCGCGAATACTGCCTTGTTGTTCTTCCAGCGCGGATAAGCTTATATTGCGCCAAGCATGTGCAGTCTTCATTGTTACCTCCTTTTGGAATGATCTTCCCACGCTCGAGTTCTTGCTTCGCAATCGTCTTGTGGTCTTCACGCGCGACTCGAGTTACTTGCATGCCTCACCCGTGATGGTTTGTGTGTCTCTCTTCTTTACGATCACGTGATATACCATCACTCCGCATTGAAAATGTTGTTTTGGTTATTTGATTTTCTTGTCGGATGATTTTTCTCCCAAATTATTTTGGCTTAAACAATGAATTATTTTAATATAGTAATTGTATTGTTATTTTTGAATCATGCTGACATAAAAAAATTCATCTGAAAAAAACGTACCAGGAACGTAGTACAAAGTACGAAGTGTATGGTTTACAGGCAACTGGCTGTGCGCAAAATCTTGCATATTATTGGACAGCATGATTTGTACGTATAAATGTCATGTGAAAATCATACCGTTGTTACTATCGGATCGGGAGAGCGTCAGTAAGTGGGTGCCGGGTTTAGGTCAGCGATAGTGAACGAAATAGATAATGATTAATATTTATGTGCGAATATTTAGGGTCAATTGATCAATAATTTATTTAAGAGACCGTTAAGTGAGATAACGATTTCTAACAATG